ATGTTCCTTTTCACTTCTGAGAGCTGTAGAGACTGAAAAAAAGGGCTGAACCCACCACAGAAGACTCAACGCTGAAATAAAGAGCTAAATCGAAAACGAAGAAATCAACAAATACCCTTCAAAGGTAAAGCTCAGCTTGGAAGAAAAAATATACAAGCAAAACACCAAAATCTAAACAGTTAGACATTTAGAGCAAGTGTTCTGATTCTTGTGTCTCTTGGAACAAAAACTAGCAAAATTCAGAGAATTCTCTGGCAAAAGCTCTAGGAATTTGACCTTTATATCAATGCACTGTAGAAATCATACAAAATTCCTGAAAAAAATAGTGTCTAATTTTTATCCTATAACTATTTTTGAAGGGAGTAAAACCAATCTATAAGTGGGGGAAAAAAATACTCATCTCTATGGATTCAAAGTGCTACCCAAGAATTTTGTTATCCTACTTCTTCTGAAAACTTTTCAGCTAGGTATCTATGTTGTAAAAACTTACTTCTAATAACAATATTTTTAAAGTCTGTTGCAACAGTTGCACTCGTAACCCATCACACCTGCATGCACACACTTATAACAACGAGACTGGCACTTTGAAAGTTGTATTGTGCATAGATGAAGAAAATAATGCATGTAAATAGGCTTAAAAATGCCATCTCAAAACTTGGGAGGTTTTTTTTTACTGCTCTGGTTTTCTCTCACATAAAAACCGGGAGTGATGCTGTGATGGACTGTAGCTACACTGCTGTAAAAGTAGCATGAAACTCAGTTGGCATGTCTACACGTGCACCTGACTGTGCAGTTGTTCCTACACAGTCATTTAGTACTTGCTCTAGCTGGTACTGTGCAGTCCCAGCACCACACAGGTCTATTCCAACCCTACTGTGCAGTAGCAGCAGCATCACCGTTTGTGCCCACTGATGCTACAGCGACATTGCATCTCATGTAGATGCGCCCAATGTCTCTTAGCCCAAAGGCCAGAGACACCATGACCTTAGGTTCCCTCAACTCCATACACTAGAATTATGTAGTAAGAGAGATTTTAGGAGCTGCATCTATAGGCCATAGTGGACCAACTGTTGTAAGAAAATATCATGTAACAAAATGTATGTGGCTCAATTTATAAACCAAGCATCCCCAGTCCTTAGATGCCTGCCTACTGCCATTCAATAATACAGTTATCAAAGTAAATGCATTTGTTGAACTGTGTTGCTGCATTAATTAAAAAGCTTTCAGATCATGCTTTTAAATAAAAGATTTTAAAAGTAATTGTTCTGAAACAAATAATGCCTATACACATTTTAAAATCACCAGTTTCATACATTAGGGTCCTTATAATTGAACTGCTTTTTATAAGCTAGCAGTGATATCTTTCAGCTGAAATCCATAAGTGCAAGTTCTCATTCTCAGCTACAAGCTCCCTGCTGGCTTTAAATGGCTTCTTTGACCCTGGCTCCATGGAGACTGAGCTTGGATAGGTACAAATAAGTTCTAAAGATTTTTTTTTTTTTTATGACAATCTTTTTTTTTAAACTTCTATTTTTCATTAATACGAGGTCTTTTTAGTCGTGGAAATTGACCTATAGTAGCTGAAATTGACTCGTAGATGGTAGCAGTGGATTTCTACTTCTGTTTCTATGGAAATAGAAGTTATATTGAAGATTGAAAATGGTTTTTATTAAAGCTCTCTTACCTATCTGTCCTTTTCTCCTGAATCCTGGTTGAAAAGGCTGCTGATAGCATCAGCCAGGTACTGACTTTTAGATTTCTTCTGTCAAGTAGGAGATGAGAGCTAAAAGATAGACAAAAAACAAGCAAAAAATAAAAAATAAAAATGAGGCTACTGGCTCCGGAAGTATGATTTGCCACTGTGTACTTATTTACAGCAGTGTGGGTTTGCAGAAGATTACTGATAGTAGAATTAGACCAATTAAATAATGTGATTAAAGTGACATTTGATTCAAAGGGTAGTTCCACACATATAGCCAGGGTGTGATGGCAGTGGTTAAAGGTATCTCACTGTGGCTTCAGAAATATTAATTTGAGACCTGTTCTGCATTCATTTGAAAGGTCATTCCTACTCAGCCCAATGCAATGTACCTGATTTGTTATCCTGCTCTCCCTAGTCTATGATGCTGATGACATCACTCTAATGCAGGGGTGGGCAAATTGCAGCCCAGGGGCCGGATGTAGCCCACCAGACCATTCTATCCAGGCCCTGGGGCCCCTAAAAAATTTGGAAATTTAATATTAATCTGCCCTGGGCTGCCTGTCATGCAGCCCTCGATTAGCTTGCTGAAACTCAGTAAGCAGCCCAAAATAATTGCCCAGCCCTGCTCTAATGTGTGTCACTGGCTACAGAAATTAGTGTTCTTGATCAGTGGTGCCCAACCTTTTAGCAGTATGGGCTAGACTTATTTGAGTGTGGGGTTAGCCCATGGGCCAGATCTGGTCTGTGGGCCTAATCTAGTTCATGGGGTTGGTCCAGCATGAGGTTCAGACCCTGGCCCCTCACACTGGATTGGGCCCCATGTCAGACCATGCCTGTGGCCCTGACTGCATGTTGGATTAGGTCATGCCTGTGGTCTTGGCCCTGTATGCCATGTAATTTGGCTCACAGGGCTTGGAAATGTGGCAGAGGGGGAGCAGTGGCAGCATTAATTGCCACTGCTCCCCCACTGCTGAATTTCTGGACCCATAGGAAGCCCCACAAACAAGTTGATATGCTCTGTAGCCCAGTTCTGGTCCACAGGCTAGAGGTTGAGCACCACTGTACTAACTTGATGGACTGTTAGGCTTGGGCTGACTTTTGACATTACATATGTGAGAGCAAAATAAGGTATATAACTAACATGCAGACCACCCTTGTGTTCTAAAGTCCTATTTTCAACTGCTCTAGTTTCCCCTCTGTGTGAAAAGTTTACAGTCAGAACAGCCTGAGAAGTAGGAGTAAAGATAATAATCCCTACTTCTGAAAAAGCACTTAAGGGAGAACAGTAGCATAGTTAACCATTATAGGCAGAGCAGGGCAGCCACAATGCACAGGGCATCTCTGGGTATGCCAATGGCAGTGGTGCTATCAGCCTCTGTGGTGGTGGCGGCTATTTTTGTTTTTTTTTTTTTTTTTCCTTTTAAAAAAGGTACAGAAGTGGCTCCCAGGGCTACTGTGCCAGTCACCCCCCTCTCAGTTACACTACTGTTTTACAGATTTTATATTGAATACATTTATTCCAAAGTGACTTTCTGTAAGATTAAAGATGGTGAGGCATCCCATACTATCCATAGGAATGCTGGCAATCCTGTGGAAAAAAGAAGAGAACTGAATGTGAGAAGAATATTTAGCAAGCAAAGAAACAGATATAGAAATTACTCTAAAAAGAGATCAACAATCTCTTTTTTAGTGTAATCTAGTGTAAAAGCAACAGTATTATGATAGTTATTTTATCTTTTACCTGAAGCTGATGTCCTGAGCTCTTTCTAAAAAACTGTTTCGCATACATGCACAAGTGCTTGCATGTAGAGATAATTAGTAAGTTTTAACTTGGTGCAAATTCTGCATGAGAAGTGTCAAGATTATCTTCATGAAAAAAACTCTTTATACTTATTTAGTTTCCACATCATAATTTTGGAACCACTTTTTAATTATGTTTGTGAATCCAATTGTTCTATAACTACTTGTAATTGGAACCTGCAATCCACACCTGTATGGCAGGAGGCATGACTGTGGGATCATACATTAGATCCCATTGTGCCTGGGTTCCCACTGCATGGGCAGGAAGTAGGCTCCCGCAACTCTCCTTTGGGTCCAGCTGGGACCAAAAGTCCTGTCAGCTCTCTGATCCGGCTCTGTGTGTGGTGAAGCTGGGACTAAGAGTCCCATCAGCTGCAGGACTCTCACCCTGGCAGCCATGGGGCACAGCTGCAATCTCCCAGCTCTGGGAGCATCCCAGGGTTAGAAGACTGCAATGTCTGGGAGATTGCAGCAGCTGTAATCTCCCAGCTCTGGGGTGCCTTGTGCTCCCCAGAGGCTGTCAGATCACAGCACTTGAGGCTTCCTAGTCACAGACTATCTACATGTACAAATTAAAGCTAGATAGAAACCAGCTATAAAGGTGTTATATATTTTCCAGCGGTATCTTTATAGCTTGTTGGACCTTTTTAAGGTGCCACAGTTAATTTGCACATGCCGCCAAGTCTAAATTTATTGCACAGTTAACAAGGTAATTGTGTAATAGATATAATGTGTAGAGGGGGCCTTAGAGATGAATCCTGTAAACATTTATTGCCAGACATATGCTGACTTCTCCCTTCTGAGTCCATTGGGCTATGCATAATGAGCACATCACTGGGCATCTTATATTTTTAAAAGGATGCTGTTATTGTCTTTAACATTTATTTTCAATGCCATATATAAGTTGTGTTCAGTGTAGCTCAAGAGATGGATGGACCTTTGAGACCTCTGGAATCTGGCACTCATCAGGGACTGATCTAGATCCTGGTGTAAATTAAAACAGGTTATGGCCCTCTCTGCCTGTTCAGTGAATAGCTAAAGTGCAGAGGTATTTTGGCCATGACTCTTGCCAGGGTTTGGGAATAGAGATGACATAAAACCATGATAGTATCTCTACATCACTCAGGGATACATTTTGTGAAAGTGAAAGTGAAATTGTGAGGTAGTTGATGACATTAGCTTTCTAGCTGCTGTATTATTGGATAACTAATCCTCTTATTGGAAGCAATTACTGAAGTCCCTCATTGCATATTCATACATACAGGCAAAATGAGGTAATATTTGAAAAATATTGTTTTCTCTCAGTACATCTATGGATAGACCATATTAAAAAATCTTAACTGTCCCTGTGTTTAATCACCCACACCCCAGAATATTTTATGGATATCATCTAATATATATATATATAATTTCTATTCCACTTTCTAAAAAATATCGAGGAAGAACAAAACAAATGTCATGTTTAAATGGAGAAGCTTGGCAGGTTAAAAACAGCCAAACAGTTTTTATTAAGTGTTCTGTAATAGCAGATGGAGGTATTGTGTTGGCATGTACTGTATTACATGCAAATATTTTCACGTCATTTGTGGTGGATCTATAATGATTTGCTCTTGGACACATGCACCAGTGTGTAAATGACTTGTGTGACAATCTCATGCACACTGTGTGTAGCCAACGTTTTTAAGGGAGCATATTAAAACAACCTACACTGCACAGCTTTGTTACAGTTCCTACATTGATGGCTCTGCATTGTGTATGACCCATGAACCCTACATAGACAGACAACATTCTTTGGATAGATGTGATATCTTTTATTAGAGCAACAAAAAACAGACCCCAACAGACTCTCCCTTATGCCTGAAGAAGGGTGTTTATGCCCCAAAGTTTGCAAAGAACAATTTTTCCAACTATTTAGCTGATCTAATAAAAGATTAAATCCATCTATCCAAAGAACCTTGTCTGCCTATGTCCTTAGACCAACATGACTACAACCAACAACCCTAAAGCATGAATCCTACATGTGGTTTGTATCACTGAAGTCCTGCCCTTCATGCCTTTTTCATTGCATGCTTTGTCCACTTGCTCTGTTGATCAAGTCATGACATATTTCACTGAACACAGGAAGCTGACTAATGCTTAGACCTGGTCTGAGCAATTATTTTATATTGCCTTTCAAGATGGCCTCATACTTCTCCTCTGAACATGTCTGCTTTCTGTCTAAACATTTTCTTCAGAGAGGGATGTGGATTTCTAGATCTACAGGAAGTAAAGTTGGTTGGGAAGTGGACTCTTTCTCATAGTAACTTCTTGTTTCTTGGCAAAATAAAATAAAATATAAAAAAAGTTGAGAATTTTGATTCAGAAATGGTGTTATGATGTGTTCCGCAAGCCTGGTGCTTCATGTTCATTCTTTTTTATGGCCAGAGTCGTGAGCCAGACTACACTTCCTATGAGACATCCTGCATTCCCTGCTTGCTCAACTGCTGTGATACCTCACAAGAGTCCCTGGCCCTGGCTCACCTTCATGTTCAGCCCCCAGAGGAAGAGAACAAAGGTGCAAGACATCCAAACTACAGTTCCTGGGAGGTAACACAGTGGCATTCTAAATCAATTATTTTCCCTTTCATATGAGAACAGAAAATGTTTTCAGTTTTTCAGGTTTGTTGCAATTTTCTATGGAAATAGCATACTGTTTGACACACACAATCAGTTAATCCAAATCCCACTTTTCTGTTGAAATTAAAAATGTTGTTGAGAAGTGTTCATCCATTTCTACCTGACAGTCTGACACCATACCAATACCAGTCTGGGTGGAGAGCCTGTGCCACTTTTATAGTTTGCCACTTATACTCACAGAAGGAGTGGTTTTAAAGTCTATCTTTTCAAAATATAGTAATCTATTCTTGTAGGTGTGTGTAGGCATTTTGGTGGATGCAGAATCACTTCTGTGTACTTATGCTTAAATGATCCATTACAAAATCCATTTGTATATCATAAACAGATGGATTTCATATGTGTGTTGTCAGATAAGCACATTTACAAACAAAAACCAGATCCAGGCTTTTTTAAAAATTGAACTATAGTTCAACTATCTTACTAGCTTGCTTACATAATTCTGATGCCATTGGTGCAAATATGGCTACCTCTGGTTCTTGATTTGTAAGAGAGAATTGGGTCCTGTTGTGTTGTTATAGGTTCTTCTGTATCCCATTAAGCTGCAGAGGTTATGAACAATTTGTTTTTCATGGATCCAGTACACTTTGGTGAACCTTCATGCTACATAAACCAAGACAAGTAGGGGTTTTGGTCTGTTTGGTTTTTAACTGAAGTGTACTGTCAGCAGGTAATTACATGCCTCTTAAAATAACTTTGCAAATATAGGTAAATATGTATTTAATATTAGGACAATGGTTTTTATAAATCACTTTATAGTGTCTTTAATTTTGATTTTTTTCATTTAAAATAACTTTGTATCCAAACCAAAAATGTACGTTATTTATGTTTCGGACTAAACATATTGACTACTTGATACACATTTTTTCGGTCTGTTTATTGCACAAAATAGATTTCTACTAGAAGGTCAGGTCTGATGGAAAAGATCTGGGGTCACATTCTCAGTTTGGTGTAAATTAGCAAAAGTCTGTTGGTTTCTAAAGAGTGTATTTAATATATGTCATATTCACATTGAAAATTTGCATTTGTAATCCCTCACAGTACCTGATAAAGTAGTATACTCTGGATACTCTACTGGATAAAGATGCGCAAAAAACTGTTAATTAGATATGCATTAATTGTCATTGTTGAAAGACTTATATTAACTTTCCCTTACCTTCTAAGGGTGGAAAAGGCATAACATTTTTAGCTTATTTATTACAAGGCACAGCCAGCTGTTCCTGGAATAGTACCACTGGGATAAGTAGCATACGATGAAGAAATTCCCTTTTGCCTGACTTGTTTTATTTAGTGTTTGTATTTCAATGAAGAATACTGTTTCAGTAATGAGCCTCTTATCTGTCCAAGCACATCGCATTTAATGTCTTCTGTGTATAATGTGAAAATGTATGCATGGAACAGATCACTTTCACTTTTAACTAAATGAATTATTTACATTTGGATCTGCTTCACAGCTCTTGGCCCTTCCTAGCAACTCAATTCTTTGTGACTTATCTGTTCATTTACTAGCTGTATAACACTGGTGATGTTAACAGAGGTGAAGTAAAGTTCATAGAAGGTATTAATTTTCAAATAAACAGACAGCTTAGCATGTTCTCTGCCAGTCAATTCACATTACAAAGGGAGACTTGTCATGGCACACTTAGTTTTCTAAATAGAAGTTGACTTTATAATCAGAACTATCTAACTATTGTAGCAGTGTCCTACAATTAATGGGCACATAACCTCTTTTTATAACAAACAATGTTTTCCATCAGTTTCTTAGGTCATCTATTTAAAATTGCATTGGGCTGCTATTTGGTGCAGTAGACAGGCTGTCAGATGGTCTCAGTAAAAATACACATAATTAAAAACAATTGTAAATCAAACATGCAGACTGGGGTTTAATATAGCTTTACTTTGGCTTCCTTTCAGGTCTATTGTGAGGCTCAAATTTACACTGTAGTGCAATCATTTTTTCCAGTTTTAGATTAGTTTTTGGCTCACAAAAATTACCATCAGGAAACTAAGTTTCAGAGAGTTTTGTTTTTACATGTGGCTCAATGCACTTCTTGTTTTATGAAAATGTCAGGCCTATGATTGGAGCGGGGTGGGAAGACAGTGCAAGAAGATTCTCTCATTAGGGCCTGTGGACAAGGACCTGGCCTAATTGCTGTATGTTGTGGTCACAGTTTGTCTAGCTGTTATTTGTCAACCCTATCAAACTGTTATATGTCAACCCTATCAGTATAATGTTATGTCAGGATGGATGTGTAATAACTGGATAGAACTGCTTCTCTTTTCTGAAAGGCAAAAAATGTTATTCTCATCCCTTTTGTCTGAGATATATTTGGGAAAACATGGGCTTCCTTGAATTAACTACTACTTCCTCTTTGAACTGAAGTACTTTAGGGCTGGTTTTCCTCTGTATAGTCACTTACACACACGTAAAAGGGATGTAAAAGACTCTCTGCTCAGTAGTTTGTAAGGCAATAGAGGATTAGCCCCTTATTTTTATCCACACAGATTTTTGAGGAAAACATAGAAAAGCCAATGCATAGCTAACATGGGGGGTAGAGGGATGGGGAGGGGAACTATTCAGTGTCCCAAGGTGAACCACAGGGAACAAAAGGGAGATGTTCATCTCTAATTGACAGGAGTTGTAATTTGGGGAGATGGACAGGGGAGGGAAGTTTGCAAACCTTTATGTTCTCATGTCCCTCTTGGGAAGAGCCTTCCTCATGCTCTTGTCCCTAGGTCTTCATTCTGGCATGCTAACAAAGCTCCTGTAGAATCCTTATATTTAAAGATGTTAGATTGGGATGATCTAAGTATATTCCTCCCTTAATGCAGGGGGTGGCCTAGATCTCTTGAAAACCCTATAAGGCCTATATGCCTATCATTTCATGATTGCAGGCTGCTACTCAGTAGCTCTACACTGCTTTGATGAATGGAGAAGCAATTGAGGTGGGTTAATTATGTATTTGGGGTAAAAATTGAAGTCCCAGCTACATTCAGAAATCCACTGAGTTGTAAGTGAAAGACTGTTCCTGCAGGCTTCAGTTCCATGCTAGGCTAGAAAGTAGCTCCATGAATTTCCAGGGAATTACATGCATTGTAGCTTTTTCCCTTCCTTTCTTCACTCCTCTGCTTCCCCCTCCCCTGCTCCAAATATGCAGTCTTCTGCTTTCTGCAGACAGTGTGACAGGAGGGGGATCACTTGACCACAACTTGGCTGACATCGCCTGACTGTAAATTCAGGGTTTTTTCCTTGTCTTTTTTACTGTGAGCTAAATCAGAATCCTAGTATGTTGTTGTTTAAGCTGCTCTTGATCCCACCTATGTTAGTGAGGTATTTCTCCCAACCTCTATGCAATATTGAAGTGTGTGCGTCTCCCAAGAGAAGATAGCTATTTAGAAAGGAGCAAGAGGTCAATACATATCATTGTTAGGACATTGAAATCACTGGCACCATGACAAATTACTCCAAAAAAAAAAATCTTAATTCCTAATTGTTAGATTTCTTTATGTAGTGATTGGTTACAAATCAGGTGAAGCCATAGCAGTCTTGTTCTTGGAAGGCAAAGACAGTGTTTATTTATCTTTCCATGGCATGGCTCCAGCAAGGCAGCTTCTAAGAACTGTGAGGTCTTGGTGGCCTTTGAACAAGCATAGTCTTTCCATGTACTGCCAAGTGTCAGATTCTTTATGCAACACTTCTGAAATTATAGAAGCCCTAGTCAAAGGGGCACCCATCCCCATTTCTCAAGCTGTTTGAATCACTGAGGCATCCAAAAGGACTTCAGGAAGCTGTTTCTTAGAGCAGGATCTTCTGAGACAAACTGATAATATTCTGTGTAATAGGACATATATGGATATATACTCTTTTGCAAACAGCCAATATAGTACTTTAGCTAATGCCATTTGAATGTGAAGGTGGGCATAAGAAGCAACCTGAAGAAAGTATGGTGGCAACAGCAAGGCCCTCTTGAAGAGCTGAAATGAAATGGTCAACAATGAAAGCTATTAAGATGCAGTGTGAAGTATATGGAAAAAAATAATTGTAAAGTGAATGCACAAAAAAAATAAATGCATGGAAAGGATGTTGCAGCCTGATCAATTTATTGGTTAAATATATAAAGAAAGGTAATCTACGTTATTCTTACTGAGTAGAATTCTGTTCTTAAAACTGCTCTTCTGGGGGTTGTTAAATTAAGTGAGAGATTAATGATACTAGTATTGAAGTACAGGTTTCTCTTGCTGTATGCTGTACTTGCATTCCTGGGAAATGGCGCGTAACTCGAATCCACATAAAGGGAACCCACTTTACAATGTAACAAATAGGAATATGTTCCAAGACCTCAACTATACTGACCCCCCCAGACTCATTTCTACCACTTTTCCAAACAATTTTGGTATTCATCAACAGCAGACATTACACACAAGCACAGGGCACTATCATAATGGGGATGGCAACTACAGAAACGTGTCACAGACAACGAGCGAGGGGCACAGATCCACACAGAAGACTATACACAGTTGTGTCACTCCCACAATGCACTGCACAAAGCAGCTGATGGAGGGCTTCCACCACACGGATTATATAAGAGTGAATTTACCTCGCATATAACACATTTTTGGTATAAAAGCAAATTCACACACAAAGAACCTTCATAAAGCAAAGGAAACCTGTATGTATGTCAACTGGAATGGAAAAAGCACTAACAGCATAGGAGACTTTTTGCTTAGATTTTCACCATGACTCAAAATGATTATTTCTGTACACAAAAAAAACTAGATTTGAATTTCAGCTGCAGGCTGCAAAATGAATAAATATGATCCCAGGTGAGAGAACGCCATAGATTTTATTTCTGCATCACTTTCCTGATGGGCCTCAGGAGGGCTGCTCCTAAGTTTGCTCCACCCATCCATTC